GTGTGCGTGTCCATGTGTCCATGTGTGTGTCTGTGTGTGAGAGGAGCCCTGGAGTGGGTTTTTATGTTCCTGCCCAGGTCTCCCCCCCTGAGGCAAATGTGACCGGGAGCAAATTAACCACATGCAAATCCCCAGGGCCCCGGAGCCAACAACAGCCCCCCTGCTGCAGTGCTCCCCAGGAATGGCCCCTGGCACAGCACCCAGCAGGGCACGCAGCATGGCACCTGGCACCCAGCACGGCACCTGGCACCCAGCACGGCACCCAGCACCCATCACAGCACCCAGCACAGCACCTGGCAACCAGCACGGCACCCAGCAAGACACCCAGCACAGCACCAGGCACGGCACCCAGCACGGCACCCAGCACAGCCTCCAGCACCCATCACAGCACCTGGCAACCAGCACGGCACCAGGCACAGCACCCAGCAAGGCACCCATCACAGCACCCAGCACGGCACCTGGCACCCAGCACAGCACCCGGCACCCCGGGCTCAGGCACAAGACCCAGCCCAACACAGCACACAAGCCCATGGGCCAGATGCTGCCTGAGGGCGGGTGAGGAGCTGCACAGGGGGAGCCCTCTCCATGTCCCCTGCTCGGTGCATGAGGAAACTGAGGCACGGGCTCTGCTCTCCCTGTCCTTCGCAGGGACTGACATGGAGGACAGTGCTGGCAGAGTTCTGCCACTCGCTCCTAGGGCCAGCACAGGATCCTTCTCTCTATCCTGAGGAAAGGCAAGAAACCAGGGAGGGAGGCAGCTGCCTTTGCTGAACTTGGGGGATGGATCCTTCAGGCAAGTTGTGCCCCAGGGACCTCAAGAAGAGCCAAGTTCTCTGCTCGGCTCCATAGGGAAGGGAGACGCTGGGATGCAACCATGTTACACAGCTAAACCTGCCTGGTTAGGTGACATCCCCCTGCCTGCATCCTGCCAGCCATCTCCCTGCCCTCATCCTGCTGTCTCCCTGCCTGCATCCTGCCATTTCGCTTTCCGCATCCTGCCATCTCCCTGCTCATTTGCTGTCCTGTGAACCGCAGGAAGCCCCGTCCCCACACAGAGGACAGGACCCACCAACTTCACCCCCTGCTGTGGCCATACAGAGCTCGATGGCAGAAGAGCAGTTGCAGAAAGGAGCCAGGTTTGGGGAAAGATGGGGAGGTTTTGTTGTTGTGGTGAGTAAAACTGAAAATCAACGAGGTATTTGGCTGGGAGGTGAATTTTCCTTGTGCCATCTGCTGGCACTGAGTCCTGCTGAGCCTGACATATCCTTATGGGTTGCCCGGGGCCAGGGTCCATCTGGTGGAGCAGGAGGGGATCTGGACAGCATCTGTGCTGCATGTGGCCCTCCAAATCTCCTCCAAACCCAAAGGGATGCCTCCACCTCCAGCCCTCCTGGCAGCCAAGAGAGGTGCCTTGGGTATTGCCACGGCACCATTTGAAACGCCAGCAGCCACAACCATGGCATGCATTGGCATCTCCAGAGGCTCTGAAGACGGGCACCACATCTGAACTGTGCCACATGTGACAGAGCTGTGCTCACACAAGGCTGGCGGCTGGACTTGCACCCCTTGGCCACAGCCACAATGATGCCCCAAGCTGGGGACAGGGAGGATAAAGCCGCTCCCAGGACCACTGTGCCCAACTTGGACAACCCAGTGCTGAGCCAAGCCACTGTGGCAAACCTGGCTGCACAAATCCATCCCCTGCAACAGGCAGCACGCCGGCAGGCAGGGAGCAGGCAAGGAGCAAGCAGGGTGCAGGCAGGGAGCAGGGAAGGAGCAGGCAGGGCCAGGGCGACGGCATGAGTGCAGATGGATGGAAGAAGACTTAATTCTTCATTGTACCAGCAGCAAAGCCACCAACCACTGTAATTACAGCAGGCTTAGCTGGTGGCGGGGGGCCTGGGAGGGGCTGGATCTCCTCCTGATGGAGCAACCCCAAGAACCAGGGTGCATATCCAAACAGCATTCTCAGCTGGAAAGGCTCCAAGCTCTCCCAGCACCACAACCACCCCATCGAGCCCTGGAGCACCATCATCCCGCCATCCCCCTGCCATCTTTGGCACTAGCCAAACCACATCACCCGCATCCCCATCCCACACTGGGGTGAGGGGGACACCTCCAGCCCTCTCCCTCCCAGGACATCTCAGCTTCCCTTGTCCCAGACCTGGCACGGACCCTCTCCCCATGCCAGGGTGTGAGAACCCCCTGGTGGGGTCACCCACCTCCTCAGAGACACAGGTCTGTGGGGCCAGGGAGGCAGCGCCCAGGTCCTCGTGCATGCGGTCCAGCAGCCAGAGCAGGAACTCGAGGGCGTCGTGCTGCGCATTGCCCCGAAACTGGGCGCTGTGCTTGGAGACGATGTTCTGCAAGAGACAGGCCGGGAGGGCTCTGAGCCCTGTTCAGTAACACCCACCCCAAAATCCCACCCCTGCAACAGTGTCTGCCCTCATCCCCGGGGACATGGCACAAGCAGCCAAAAGAACGGCTCCATGGCCCATCACTGTGGTGTGCCAGCTTTCAGCTGCTGGGATGCCCCCAGGAGGGGACAGGGCACACCCCAACAAAGCCCGTATGGGCAAGTCCATCCCATGGGGACTCACCAGCAGCACCTGCCCCATGTGCTCTGAAGGCATTAACTCAGTGTAACAACCAGAGGAAGGCAATTCCCAGTGCTGGGATGCCCCTGCAGGCCGCAGCTCTCCCCCAAGCCCTGCCCTATCACCAGCAGGCAGCTGCCTCCCCTGCCAGGCTCTGCCCCTCCACCCAAAGCCCGACCAGCTCCTCCTGCCTGGCACTGCCCTCTGCTCACCCCCTCTCATCCATGCCCCCAGCATTTTGGCTAATATAGCATTAATTTTGCTGTTAGGCAAGAAGCACAATGTCCTTGCCTAATGGAAGGTACCCCCTTGCCAGGGGACATAGTGGGAATCACAGACTGGTTTTGGTTGAAGGGACCTTAAAGCTCATTCAGTTCCAATCCCTTCCACGTGCAGGGACACCCTCCACTAGAACAGGTTACTCCAGGCCATAGGGCCAAGGATGCCGTGGGGCCGAGGCAGTGCCTGAGGAGGATATGCCCATCGGGTGCCAACGGGCCACCACACCAGTGCTGAAGCCAGCTCCCTCGCTGAGCCAGCCGAGGCCCCAGGGGTGCTTTGTGCCTGCGGTTCAGGTGGCCCTGGGGGGATGCACCACCAACCGATGCCAGGGTGCCACCAATACATGAGAGCTGTGTCAACAGCTCCCAGGGGAGCAGCGTGAGCCAGGGTGGGTCCCTGACTCCAAACCCCAGGATGCACGGGGCTGGGGGTGCAGGGAGCACCCTGAAAGGCAGAGCTGCGTACTCCCAGGGCCTCAGCTCCAAGCCTGGTATAGTGGTGGCTGCGCAGAGGCAGGAAAGGACAATTTTAGGAGCTCAGTCCCAAGACCAGAACTGGGAGGGAGAAACACAGCACATCCCTGTGGATTTTAACCAGCTGATAGTTAAAGCCCAACCATCTGTGCTGCGACTCAGACCTCCAGCATGCCCAGGAAACACCCTGAGCCAAGACCCTCTCCGGCCCACCCTTAGTGGCACAAGCATCCTGGTACAAGCAGAGGGAGCGATGTCACCGCAGGTGGGCTTAAAGCAAAATGAGTCACAGACTCTGCTCTGATTTTTAAAATCTTCTTTAGGCAGATCTAAGAAGAAAAACAAGGTGGAAATTCACAGAAGATGCAGATAACACCTGGAGAGAGGAAACCCAAAGGGGAGGCTGGAAGTTTGAGGGTTTGTTTGGCTTTGTGTCTAAGGAATGTGCGTGTTTGCGAACTGAGAGCATGGAAACGCTGCACCCAGCACTGCAAGAGCTCATTACTTTGCTACAAGAAACTGAAAGGCAACACGCTCCCACGCGCAGGTCCCTTAGGAAAGGCAATGAAGGGCAGTGGGTATCCCAGAACCAGCCTGGCTGCAGGAAACCCCAACCCGGAAGGAGCCTGGCTTCCCAGTGGCTCCTCCAGGCACTTTGCAAATGCAGCAGCAGCTGAATTGCAGCACCAGGTCCCTGCTGAGCTGTCACCAGTGGACACATGTCCCTCAGCATGGGGAGCTGCGATGCCGGGGTCAATGCACTGCCCTGTCCCTATCCCCATGCCGGGCACAAGCCTGCAGAGCGCTGGTACATACCCAGCAGGGACGTGATGCACTCACCGACGGGGCCTGAGGCCACTGAGTTAGGCTCCGGGGGCACCTTCCCGCCTTGCCCCACCACCACAGCCAGCATCCTGCTCGCCCTTATGGCTCTGAGGGGTTGGAGCTCACCCGGCCAAGGGAGCAAGAGCTGAAGTGAGGGCAGCCCAGGAGGAGGTGGATGACAGCAGCAGGGCTGGGGGCAGCCAATGGAGCAGGGTGAGAGGTCCATGGGGAAGATGAGGCAGGGGAGTGGGTGCTTTGAGCAGGGGATGCTGGTGGGTTCTGTGAGCTGGGGTGCTGGCAGGTGATGGGAGTGGGTGAATATAGGTGGGTGCCAAGGCTGGGAGGATGCAGGAAGATGCTGATGGTGGCAGCGAGTCCTGTGAGCTGCGAGTGCCAGTGGGTGCTGCGGGCTAGAAGGGGCGCTGGTGGGTGCTGGCAGTGCCAGGGGGTGCCGAGAGCGGGGTGATGCTGACAAGTCCTGTGAGCCGGGCTCCCGCCGGGGTGCGCAGGGCAAAGCCCGAGGCCGCGGAGACGGGCGCGCCGGCGGGGCCGTACCTTGAACTCGGCGGAGAGCTGCGGTGTATAGTCGCGGGTCCAGAGGGCGCGGACTAGGGCCGCCAGCCGGTGGGTCACCTCGGCGCGGGCCCCGCGGGCGCGGTAGCGGCCCAGCGCCAGGAGCTCGGCGAGCGGCGCCGTGTTGCTGAGGCACTGCACCACCGCGTTCATGAAGCACGTGTTGCCCAGGTTCCGCAGCCCCTGAGCGCCCGGCGGCCGCTCCCCGCCTCCGCTCTCCCCCGTGGCCGCCCCCCCGGGCCGCCGCCGCCGCCGCCGCTCTCCCCCGTGGCCGCCCCCCCGGAATCCGCCCTCGTCGTCCTCGGGCGCGGCTCTGCGCGGCCCGCGGCCCCCGGCCAGGCGCGCCCAGGTGCGGAGCAGCCGCCCCGCCAGGCTGCCCAGGGAGCGCAGCCCGCGCCGCCGCCGCCCCGCCGGGCTCCCGCCGCCGCCGCCGCCGCCCCTCCGCCGCCCGGGGCCGCTCCGCGCCGCTGCCGCGCTCATGGCTCCGCGCGGCCGCCGCCCGCTCCCGGCCCCGCCGCGGCGCGCATGGCCCCGAGCGAGCGCTGAGCTCCCCCCGCCGCCGGTGCCGGGGCCGGTGCGGGGCCGAAGGGACCGGGCGGGAGGTTTTATACGGGGCGGCTCCTCCCCCGGGCTGGGTCTGCGAGAAGGGAGAGGGAAGGGAGCCGGGAGGAGGAGGAACGGGGAGCTGCTGCTGCCGCTGGCGGCCGAGCCCCGGTGTCCTCAGCGGTACCAAGGGCTCTCCCGGGAGTCCCGGCCATGCCCCACCGGCGCCGCTCCGCTGCCCTCAGCATCATGGGGAGGGTCAGAGCAGCACCGAGAGGCGGGTGTCCCAGTCCTGCCACCTCTGGAAGCTCTTCGCTGGGCCCCTTGCCCATGGTCACCTTTGCGCCGGTCAGCGAGGTCACTTCCACACAAACCCAGGGTTGAGGCTTTGGCTGCCTTCTGCCCACCCTTCACCGGCCGGCTCCGCAGGTGGTGCTTGTCTGGCGTCTGGGGAGGGACAGTGACACCTTCCCGCAGGCGCAGGGACCAGCACCAGAGCCCTCTCTGTGTGGCCGGAGGGGTCCAACATGGCTGAGGCCCCCAGGTCACCTCCCTGCCCCCTGCCCGTGGCACCACCAGCAAAGCAAACCCACTGTGGTTTTTCAGGTGGTTTCCAGCCTGATCGGGTCTGTCCCATGGCACCATGCCGGCACTGGGACAGGGACTGCAGCGGGTCCGGCTCAGTGTGACCCAGTGGCAGTGCGTTGCTCTTCAAACGGCTGCGGAGACTCAAGTGCCCCAACGTTGGCTGCCCGTGTGAGCCTGGGACCTGCTAGCCTCTGCCAACAGCCCGACACCAACCCTGGCTCAGGGCTCCCAGCACCCCACACCACTGGGGTCACATCCCCGAGCGGGGCAGGGAGGGGGCAGCAATGCCCATGAGCCCAGGCATGTCTGGTGCAGCTGCTGTCCTTAACCAGGGCCATGGGGCTGCGGAGTGATGCGGTGGGAAGGAGGTCCCTCTGCCAGGCAGGGGGCCACTGAATGTCAACTTGCTGCAGGGCAGGGGGCTGCAGTGGCCCCAGTGCAGCCCAGTGGCTCTTCTGTCCTGGGGAGCTGCCAAGGTCAGTGCTGGGCCGTGGAGGGGGTCCCTGGTGGGTGCTGCGGGCTCTCTTCCATCCCTGCAGGTCTTGGCATCATCCAGCAACATCTCTGCATGTTCCAAGGAAGGATCTGTAGTGCCAGGAAGCCTCCCCTCACCTTCCTTGCCCTGCAGAGGAAGGAGGCACTGCCAGCAGCCTGGGCACGGCCATGTGCTGCAAACCCTGCCCTGGACGCTGCTGGGGACGAGGCAGCTTCGGAAGAGAAAGGGCTGCACAATGGAGGAAGGGCCAGGAGGTGCTGTCATGATCCCTCCTCCCATGGAGCAGGGCTGTGGCTGTGAGGTCAGGAGAGGTGGTGGCAGGGAGCTGGTGACCGCCCTGGGGACACCAGCCCAGCGGCTGTCAGCGTGGTGGGACTGGAGCAGGGCAGAGAGGAGCAGCTATGTGCTGCCAAAACCCATCCTCGCCCAGCGATGCGGGGCAGACATCGAGCAGGAGGGGAACCAGCTGCCTGCGGACGGCTCCTCCACCGGAGGCCCTGGTGTGCTGGCAGGCTCAGGAGCTGCTTATCCAGAGCAGAGAGGACTGCTCCCAGCTGGAGTTTTCCTCTGACCGCAGCCACCCTAATGGGGATAGGATGTGCTCTGAGAGCCTGGCACCCCCTGACTCTCAAGCTCTCTGCCCCAGTGGTTACAGGTCATTTCTCAGCATCCTCCTGGCCAGAGGGTGGGAAAACCCACCTTTACAAAGCCAATATTTAAAATGCTCCTTTTGGAAAGGCATCCTTAAAACTACCCTTCTCCTACATGAAGGTCACAGCCCATAAAGCAAAGTCTCAAGCATTCCCTGGGGCTCCTGGCAGTTTCATGGCCCTGCTTACAGCACCACCCTGCTGCAGAGCCCGAGGAGATGGAAACTGGAATCTACTGGAGCATTAGCAGGAGGCTATGGGGATTTTTTCTTCTATCTGAATTATTCACCAAAGGCAGATTGTGCCTTACACAGTGTGGGAAAACCAGGGCTTATCGAATCTGGAAAGCTCCTGGCTTGTTGCAAATTAAAGTACTTGTTATTTCTCTCCAGTTGGTTTTGGCTGGACACTCAAGCCTGGCAGCATCTCATCCGAGCCAAAACAACAGGGTGGGAGTGAGAGAGGGAACCTGATGAGAGCTTGATTCTGCATCAAGTGGAACAAGAAATCCCAAGCAGCTTGCTAATGGGTGCAAGAGAAAGCCCAGAGAAAGAGTGTGGAAGTCAGAAAATCACAGGGGCCCAAGCCAAATGGAGACATTCAGATCAGAAACCAGTGTTTGTTAGAAAGGGATGGGCAGAAACTGAGACCTGGTGAGCACATGACAGGGAAATCGTCTAAAACGCGACAGTGAAGCAGAGTCAGTTCAAAAATCCCCAAACCTGCTGGAATTAGAAAGCATCAGATTATGGAAGCAGCTCTGTGAGGCCCCAGTGACCTGCAGCACAGGGCTGAGGAGCACCAAGAGGCTCCCAGGTCCCCACTGTCCCCACAGTGCCAGTGCAGGGAATGGCACCAGTGCATGTGAGCCAATGACATAAACCTCTGCTTGGGTGTTTATGGAGCAGCACCATTCCCAGCATCGGCATGCCAGTGTGCTGGGCCAGCAGCACAGCCCCAGAGCAGGCAGCAGTATCTTCCCAACAGGTACCACCAGATTGTTCCAGTCTGCAGCAATTTGCAGGCTGGAGCAAGCACAGTGAATGCTCACTGTGCTCATCTTCCTTTCAGCAATATCGTGTTTGCCATCTTCCCTCTTCACATCGTTCGGAACATGGTACCTTCCTATTCAGGCTGAATCCAATATTTATGGGGGCTGCAGTACACCAGCAGCACTGGGCTGCGTCAGCAGTTTCTCCCCAAAATGCCTTTTTTTGGGAGCTCGGGGCTGGCTGCAGCTCCCGCTGCTCAAGCTGCCGTTTGCTGTGTACCAGGCTTAGACTTTGGAGCAAATCCGGGAAGGGGAAAATCTAATCGTCAGATGCAAAGAGATGGGGGAAAATGCTTGTTCACTAGTATGGAAAATTCCTGGTTGTTACAGCATGCATTGTCCCATACCTTGGACACCAGCTGTCTGGGATGAACATGAAAACAGATCTGGTTTGGTTAGGGAGATGTGGGGACAGGACAGCATTGGAAACCTCTGCTCTGGCTGGGCCAGGGAGGCACTTGGCTGTTGGGTGGGTGCAGGAAAACAAACCTTGCAAGTTCTGAGCTGAGCTGGCTCAGGCCCAGCAGGAATCCATTTGCACGGTGCCAGATCACAGGAATAACAAAACCCAGGGAAACCTCGGCACACGCTCACTGTGCTTTGCCACAGGACGAGGTTTTTTCCTGAAGCCTCCCCTGCTCTCTTGGCTGGGAACATCTGTGTGCCTGAGAGCAAGCGTACTCCAAGAGCCAGGTCCCACTGCCCGGCTCACACCCTGCGGGCAGCTGAGCAGAGACAAGGTGGGGCTGGGAGAACCAGTGTGGTCGAGCTGCTGCCAACACCGCTGCCTGCACCCTGCCTACACATCGGGCAAGCTGGGACAGTGATGTTGGTGCAGGACTTTGCAGATTTAGGTTATGGGAAGGGCGATCAAAGCCTGTGGGGAGGGGGTGTTAAGAGACTCCTTAAGTCCTGAGACATTCTGAAGTGCCGCTCTGCTGGCAAAACAGGGCTACTTCTGATGGCAGTGTTAGCAGGAGGGTGATCACAGAATCGCCTGCACCCCCCTTCTAACGGTGATAGTTTCATGGCTCAAGCGAGGGAGGAAAAGCTTCCCCCTGCAGCAGACAGCTCCTTATGCAGTGTCTCCAACTAGAATTCAATTATAGATAGCAAACTGAGTTATTTAGTACCCCCATTAAAGATGCATGGGCCCTGCCTTCTGACGGAGTATGTCTGAGGAGGAACAGCATCAAGGCTGGGAAATGCTGCTTTTCTGGGGATCTCGCATCATGCTGCTGAACATGCTCCATCGATTTTGAACACCAGCAGATAACCCGGAGCTGCAGGAGCTGCTGCACTTTGTTTGCAGCAGTTTTGCTTTGCTTTTAATGTACATTCCCTGGCTGCTTCACTGAACAGGTACCTCCAGGCTCTCTTCACCCACGATCCCCTTGGGAGGAGGATGATGTGCTCTGCAGCAGGCATTGAAACTGGGGGTGGGAAGGGAGAGCCAAGCCCAGGCTGGTGCTGCAGAAACCACCCTGGGCCCTCCCAGGCTGTGCAGCCAGGCTGCGGGGGCTCAGTGGGTTTGGGTGGGAACCAGCCTCAATTTGGCTCCCTCCAGGATGAATGTGCATTTGCCAAACCCTGTATTTGCCGAACCAGGAACCTGATTTTTTGGCTGGAGAAAGCCTGGTTTGATGCTGGGAGGCTGGAGCACCTCTCCTGTGGAGCCAGGCTGAGAGAGCTGGGCTGGTTCAGCCTGGGGAAGAGAAGGCTACTGAAGGGGAGACCTGAGAGCAGCTCCAGTGCCTAAAGGGGCTGCAGGAAACCTGGAGAAGGGCCTTGGACAAGGGATGTAGGGACAGGACAAGGGGAATGGCTTTAAGCTGCCAGAGGGGAGACTGAGATGAGCTCTTAGGCAGAAGCTCTTCCCTGTGAGGGTGCTGAGGCGCTGGCACAGGGTGCCCAGAGAAGCT